GACGTTCATCCTTATGGTGTCAAATTCAACAGAATTTTATAGGTTCCGTGAAATGTTCTCTAGTTTGTACTCGTTTTCTGTAAAAATGCAGTTTTTGATGCACCACAATCTGATTTTCACAACTCACAAGTCAAGAAACGCATTTTATGATCATTTTGATTCAAAATGTGGGGCTCGAATTGGGTAAAATGGGTACAAATTGGAGAATATTCCACATCATTTAGAATATTCCACTAAATTTGACACCACAATAATGGACGTGCAAGAAAATTCATAGTTGATGATAATTATAATTACCCAAAAATAAAGGGCTTTTTCGTAATTTGACCGACCTCAGAGGGTTGGCCGCAATTTACCCTAATATTAAACACAATAAACATTATAAATGTTAAGACTTATTATACAAATATGTAAAGATAGAACACCATAAAATTCAATTTTCAAATATATCATCATTTAAATTACTAGTTTATTAATTAAATAAGTAGTATAAAATACAAATAAAATATGAAAAAATTACAGTTTTCACCCCTCAAGTTTGCACCGATTTTATATTTGGCCTCCTATGTCAAAAAAAAAAATACATTTAGTTCCTCATATTTCAATAATTTAACGTTTTTTGTCATTTTCGTCAATTAACAAAAAATTGATCGGAAACGATTAAAAGTGTTGAATTTTTGAAACATGATGGACCAAATGTGTTTTTTTGAACAAGAGAGACTAAACGTGAAATCGGTGCTAATGTGAGGGACTAAAACTGTATTTTTTCCCAATAAAATATACAAATCAAAATTGGAGTTCTCCTCCTACTTTCATCCTCTTTCTTTTACTGCAATTTTATATTTTTGAAAATAATTTACAATCCAAGTTCCAAACAATACCAGATCTACCCCACTTCTCCCCCAACAACTCCACTCCAGCCCCTGTCTCTCTCTCTCTCTCTCTTCAGATGTTGTTCATATGGATGTATATATACATAGAGAGAGAAGAATCATAATTCATATCACAGTTCTAAACAGATTAGTGGGACACATGTTTCTGCCGAGAAGAATCCTGAATCTTGTACCTTCGGTTTGATCAGGTAGGAAATGGGCAGAATCTCACTGATCATCTAC